TGATTAAGTATCTAATTGTATAACATGAATTACAGCTTAAAATCCAAGAAAGGTTGTTTTGATATTTTTAGCTAAGCTTAAGTCCTAATCGGGTTATATTTGAGTTGGTTGAATGTTGAAGTATACCATTTGATGTAAATTGGTTCTGTTATGCTATATTGAAGTTGTCTTGGTTGATTGGGCATTGTTGAGCCAGTTGAGGAGCACATTTAAGGTGAGCTGAGATGTACCCTCACTTAAGAGTTAAGACCAGTTTTCTCAAATCGCATGCCTTCTACATAATTGACAAAATGTCTTAAGGGTAACGTAAGTGATAAGAATGGACCTTGGGCCTAATTCAACCCCAAAAACTAGTTTATGAGGTGAGGATTGACCGATGTGGGACACAACTCAACAGTAAGCACGTTGGGACGAGCGATCATGCATTATCTATGATTGTTTGGAGTTGTGTTTTAAATGAAATATTTACATGATATAAGTGTTTATGTGAGTTTTCTAAGTTATGTTTCATTCATTGTTCACTTGAACTAAGATAATGAAGTTTATGAAGTTTTCATATGATTTCAGTAGCATGTTCAAACACTTGTATATTGTTTTCGTGATTGAGAAAGCTATGTTGAGATATGCTTGCAACGTATGAGTTATGTATGAGGCCAAATGGTGCCAAATCATGTTTCAAATGTTTAAGGAGTAGAATTAGTAAAATGAGAAGGCTGAGGCCTAGAAACTACATGTGTCGGTGTAGGAATTAAGATTTGAGTTATACATGTAGCCTAAGTTTCTCCGACATGCCAGTTTAGGTGTCACACCCGTGTCGACACGACACCTGTATGGGTGTGGGTATGGGATCCGTACCGGATATGGTCAAACAATTTTAGGTACTTTGACCACGACTGACGAAAAAATTCAAGACGGGATACAATTTTGATTCCCAAAATCAAAACCAAAACTAGGATAAATTTGAAGAAAATAGCATATTTTATCTAGGAAATCAATCATTTACTTATCTACAACTTGAGAAGAAAAAAGAAATCCACGCTTTACAAGCTATACGTAAGTATTCCACAATACTTCTCAGAGATATTTTTATATTTTTATTTTTTTGAGTTATTTTTAGCCGGATCCCCGCATCCGTATCCGTACTAGGATCTGTATCCCCGAATCTTAGAATTTGTATCTCGAAGGATCCGACCTCTAGATCTGCACCCGTGTCGAACACCCGCACCCGTGTCCGAGCAACTTAGCATGTAGCTAGCAGCCTCATGTCAGATCCATACAAAGTTATGGTGAGACGGATCATCCAATTGAGTTGATACCCTAGGTCAGACAGGTCACACCACCCAACATTGTGGTGAGACGATTTCCCCAATCGAAGCGATATCCCGGACTGGATCATTGAGTTAGTGGGCTTACATACTCCCCGATTATTGAGAGGCTTTATGATGTGAAAAGAAAAAGTTCAAGTTAAAATTTCTTAAGTTTTTTCCAGTTTTCAAATGCTTATAAATGTTTCGATCATGCAATCACGTACTCCAAAATATCATAAAGCATATCGATCTATCCTTGGCAAAGAGCTTCACTTGTAGTATAAGGAATAGAAACAGATGACAGGGAAGTTTGTCAACTATAACGTCTTTTGGAACCTGTGATTCTTGATGCCATTAGGCTGGATTCTCAGCTGTGGTCCGCAGGAAAGTAAGGCAAATTCACAGTTAAGAGCTGCTTTAACTTAACGCAGAAGAAAATAGGCCATTGGAAAACCATTCTTCTTGCATCCTTCGGACCATTTGCTTGGAAAGGAATAAGAGATGTTTTGAAAATCAGAAAAACTATTATGTCTGTTGTAAAGAATAGGTGTCTTCACAATTTGTATTTTGGTGTAGGAGCATTGCAGAGAACCTATATCAGTATATGGGTTTTATAGAAGTTTTTCAAAATGTAACTGCAACTGCTTTGTGGTAATTTTATATGCTTTTAAGTACCTCTTCAGTACTTATTTAATGAAATTTACTTTTCTTATAAGAAAAAAAGAATAATGAGTTGGTGACAAAGAATGATAACTCAGGTAAAGTTAGGATTAGGGTTACGAGTAGAACAAATACATTACCGAGTAGCAATAGGAGGGCTCTGTGGGGATAAATTCGCAGCAGTTAAAGAATTTGGTTTCAGGCCAGGTTAGTGCAATTTTCAATGATTTCCTTTTATTTGGTAATTAAAAATGAGGCAATTCGGGTCAGGTTAGTGCAGTTTGGGGCGGGTTAGTCCGAAAATGGGTACATATGGGTGGGTCTTTTTACTGGGGACATGAGTTTTAAATTTGGCCAGGGAAAAGCTGCCACATCATTATTAAATAAATAATTTTTTTTGGGTGGAAATCGCCGTTAGTCATAAGGGTAGACTTGAGCCAAATAGAAAACATCGGGGACAATTTTAGCTAAATAGGTGGACGGAGGGTATATTTAGCCCTCAGGCTATAATTTAGGGGCAGTTTTGTCCCTTCTAGTTGGTGACAAATAATGAGAACTCCAAGTATAATTAGGATTAAGGTTCCGAGTAGAACAAATACATTACCGAGTAGCAATACTAGACAAACGACTGACTGATATAAGGTTAAAAGGACAACCAGGGACATAAAAGAACATTATTCAGAGCCAAGGAGGGTAACACATTGGCTTGACCAACTCCGGTCACCATGATCCACTGTTGTAAATAGCGCTTGCCTCAGCGCTAATAGCGTGAGGCGTAGCGATGCGAGCATCCATCGCTTTTTTCCTCTGTTACGTTGCGTTTTCAAAATAGCGCTCGCCTCTGCCTGTGTAGCGAGAGGCGACTGTAGCATCGCTTTTTTAAAAAATAAAAGAAAAAGCGCAGGGATTAAAAGAAAAAGACCCCCGATTAGGGCTGATTTCTTTCTTCTTCAAGCTTCAAGCAGCCAAGCAGACCAGCGATTTCTTTCGCCAAGTCGACCCACCTACATCGATTCTTCTTTCTTCTTCATCTCTTCTGCCATTTTCTTCTTCATCCAAGTCGACCCAGCCAAGTACGCTTCTCTTCGTCTCCCATTTATTTTTCTTTCTTCTTTCTTTGGTCTTCTATCTTCTTTCTCCTTTCTTTCTTTCTTCCTTTTTCTTCTTCTCTTCTTTTTCTTTTGCTCTGTTTTTTATCGAGCAGCACTCAACAGAGAGTAGCATTCAACTCTATTTTTGCTCTGTTTTTGATCGAACAACACCATCTATGGTGTTTTTAATTTTTGAATTGATATATTTATTAATATATTGTTGCTATTGTCGCTTCAAATTTAATATTTTATTTTTTTGTATAAATTGTCGCTTCACATCAAAAAGGCGAGCGCTTCGCTTCTCGCTTCTCGCCTCTCGCCTCAGTGAAGCAGGCCCTCGTCGCTATTTGTCGCCACACGCTATCCAAAACACTGCCATAATCTGAGATCCTTTAGTTAAGGTAGTAGTTAGAAGGGATTGGGAATAAATTAGTTAAGGTAATAATTAGAAGGGATTAGGAATAAATTAGTTAAGGTAATAGTTAGGACGGATTGGGAATAAATAACAGTAGACAAAAGAGATTTGTTACCAGAGATATAATCAAAAGAGCACTAATCAATAATCAGAGGGCCAGTGGACTATGAGATACAAGCAACACGATTATCGGTCTGAGCAATTGAAACTACCTGTGGAGATGCTTGCTTACTCGTCTAATACGGAAGGAAGTTATTGTACTCCGCCTCAGAAAGGAGAACGTCAGATTGGTTAGGTTACCTATGCACTCAGTTTGGAATCATGAGCATTTCTGGAAGGTCAACCATGTAATGAGTAACACTTCTCACGAACATGACCAATTTTCCAACAAACATTACATTTCGGCCTAACTTTCCAAAACGACCTGCACTCCAATTTCCAGTCCGAGATACTAGGATAGAAGAATCTGTCTGATGTCACTATATGACTGGATGGAATAGTAGGTGGTGCCGCAAGAGAGAACAAATATACACTAAGGAACAGCGGGACTAGCCAAAAATTGGTTATGCACCGAGTCAAGATTAGACCAAAGCACAGCAAGTGTTAGAACCAAAAACATACCACTCTAAGTGACATTTTCCAATAAAAGTCAAGTAAATGGAGAAATGTACTAAGAAAGGGGATGAATATTTTGATCAAAATCATACCAAATCTGAAGCTAAAGAAACTGATACTGGCAATACAAAGAGTAGCAGGAAAAGTGGTCAGCTAGCCTGAAAAGCTCTTAAGCTGATTTCAGCGTCTAGAATGGTAGGACGACCTGCAGGATACCCACAATTTAGTGAAAAGTAAGTTGGACAGTGATAGAGTAGCCGGAAACTTTGCCGGAAAAAAAATTGCATTCAACAAAACTAGTGGAAATTGGATGGGTGAGATCAGAATCAAGAGACGACCCTACTGTGTGAAGACCGTGACTGGAAAAGTGGCAAGAGAACACTGTATGCACCGATGCAAGAGGCGCGTGATACCGGAGATCTGATTCTAGTGGTGGTACGTGAGGGCGTGTGAACAACCCTACGGCAGCAGAACTTCTTGGATAGGGTAGCACGAGTGTTCCAATCCTACTGGTGGTGCTGTATATGCCCAGTACCCTTGGAAAGTAAAGAGACCTCGAAACAGTGGTGTAGTTGCCGAAAAATTGCTCGGCAATAGAATTTTCTCAAATGACTATTTTCTCACTAATTGCTCTGATACCATGTGAGAGAGAAGAGAAATTGAGAGAGAACTCACTGTATGTTATTCCCTCAGCTAAATGGGGTTAAATAGTATAGTACATGTTAGCAAAGGCAATCAATTTAATTACTTGACTACAGGGAGAATGAATCACTCTAATTAATTCTAAATGATAAGCACAATAATTACAAGATCCTAACACAAATAAACCAAGTAAAAAAAGCTCCAATAGTTGCGTAGTTAAGTTGAAGTTTTGTAAACCAATCTCATGGTAAAGGAAACCACAGAACTTACTCTTCATGTATGGGAAGAAATATATAGGCTTTCTCAAATATATTCACCCCTTTCCACCACCTTCTTAGTTTGAAAAATGAAGCTTCCTTTTCATTCTGCTGTAGAGAATTAGGAACTAGATTCAGATTTACTGATATTCAAATGATGTGATACACTGAAAGAACTAGGAGACGAAATGAAAATAGTATCTATTAGTTCCTTAGCATTCAGTATATATACAACTAGAAAGTCAAGAATAAATGCCATAGTTGTCCAGCATCATACATTTCACTGCAATTGTACATTTTGTCTTAAGAGTGTTCATATGGATGTGTTGAAGACATAATTAATTAAATAAAAGTTTGCTCGCTCTAACAACCATCAACATGATATCAGAGCAGACAGAGATCCTAGGATCAAGTCTCACCGCCACCCATTATCAACATAAATTCCCACGTGCTTGGCCATGAAAAATAAAGGTGTGCTCTCTAATAGCTTAAGGTTTTAGATGAGATGGTCGCACACTTCAATACGGATAATATCAAGCCAAGAAATATTAAGAGAAACATAATATTTACCCAACAATCAATCAATGTCTAAGCACCTTTTATTGGGTCATTTACCTTAAATATCTAATCTTTTCAGAAAAAATAAATAAAGACAAGGCCAATGCTCTCTTCAATCAGATGTATTAAAAGTAATCCAAATATCAACTCCATATTTGTTTAAAGAAGCTGCAAACAAGGGTCAGTACTTCATTTAGGATAACTCCACCAGGTCCAATATTACACTATAGCACATAAGACTTTCATTTGTCTTGGCTTACCCATGTCAAACATGTATACCATGGCTACTTCGTGCAGATTTTTCAAATATACACTAAAAATGAGAAAAGAAACTAAACTTATCCATACTAGATACTTGCACACACCAGGATTCAATCTAAACTTGGTAGCCAAGTCGATGTAACATAGTTATTAATATGGAAATTAGAACAAAGTTACAAGTCTTATAGCACAAAATTTATTAGCTAAATTGTGACGACCTGATAGGTCGCTTTGAGTTCTAGCCTTAATTTCCATGACCTGAGACCTCCCATAGCTTCATTTGATGTTTCTTGGTTTGCGACTTTGCGTGCGTGGTCCGTGCCGCTTTTCGAAAAGCTTTTATGTGAAATTTGGAAGAAAATAAAAAAATTTACTAAAAATGAGGCTAGAGCTGACTGCGGTCAACATTTTGTGTAAACGACCCTGGATCGGTGTTTTGACGATTTCGATAGGTCCATATTGTGATTTTAGACTTTGGCGTATGCCCGGAATTGAATTCGGATATCCCTAGGTTGATTTGACATGTTTTGCCGAAAGTTAGCAATTTGAATGTTGGAAATTTCCTAGGTTTGACCGTAGGTTAACTTTATGGCTAACGGGTTTGGATTTTGATTTTGAGACTTGGTATAGGTTCGTTTTGCTATTTGAAACTTGTCTGCAAAATTTAGTGCAATTAGGAGTTGGTTTGATAGGATTCGGATGCTTGGTTGCAATTCTAGAGGTTCTTTAGTTTTTCTTTGAAATTTCAATCGTTCTGATGTTCGATTTGTAGTTTTAGATGTTATTGTGGTGTTTTGATCGCACGAGCGAATTCATATGATGCTATTACACTTGTGTGCATGTTTGATTTGGAGCCCGAGGGGCTCGGGTGAGTTTCGGACGCGTTTCGGAGGAGTTTGGACAGTTTGAGGACTGCTGGTGTAGTGCCTGTATCTGGTGCCTGCTGCAGATCTCGCAATTGCGAGGTCTGGCTCGCAATTGCGAGCCTCGCTTTTGCGAACAATAATTCGCACTTGCGAGCATGGGCTGGGGGTTGGGACTTCGCATTTGCGAAGCAGGAGTCGCATTTGCGATGGATGTTGTGTCCGCAATTGCGACTCTGGCATCGCGATGCAGTGTTAAGTTGGGGTAGTTTCGCACTTGCGAAGAAGTTGGTTGCATTTGCGAAGGTTGGGCAGTTCGCATTTGCAAACAATTTATCGCATTTGCGACTTTTGGGCTTCTGATGCAAAGTTCGTATTTATGACCTTTGTTCCGCATTGCGAACATGAGTGGAAAATCCGCAGTTGGGTAAAGAGGGAAAAATCGGGACTTAGCTCATTATACACCATTTCTCAACCCTAAACACTCTAGAAACGATTTTTCAAGAGATATTTCTTCCCAAAATCATTGGTAAGCAACTTGAATCCACTTTCTTTCAATTCCCCATTACTTTTCATGAGATTTCAACATCAAATCTACGATTTCCATTGTAGAAATTAGAGATTTGGGTAGATTTTAGGAATTTTCCAAAATTGAGATTTAGACCTCAAATTGAGGTCGGATTTCGAAACAAATCACATAACCTGGCTCGGGGGTGAATGGGTAACCGGATTTTTGTCCGAATCTCGATTTTTGACCAAGGGGGCCCGGGGTTGACTTTTATTAACTTTTTCAAAAATGATAAAAATTAAACTTTTTTCATTAATGAGTAATTTCTAAAGCTTATTTTGAATCGTTTGATCGATAATTTGCTAGATGTGGTTGGTTTGGAGGCTTGTTCAAAAGCCAAGTTGATTGATTGCTTTGTTTGCGGAGTGAGGTAAGTGTTGTGTCTAACCTTGATATGAGGGAATTAGGACTTGTTGAACTATTTGTTATGTGAATTATGTGGGGAAACGGTATATAGAGGTGACACGTATATATGCGTTGTCTTGGGATTCAGCATGCGGGATTGAGCTAATTATTTCCATGTCTTCATTTATTCCATGTTATTTTATGTTATATGCTTTAACTGTTACATCTTCTTACTTGACATCTATACTATACTTGTTAATTGTTATTTAATTGTCACTTGCTTTAATTTGTTCATTTCTCACACGATTTCTGCTTATTTGCTACTTGTTTCTCTTGCCTTAATTGTGCATTCTCATTGTCACATGTTTTACTTGCTTTTATTGTCCTAATATTACTCAATGCACTCTATTATGTTCTATCGCTTATGTGAGCCGTTTAGCTATTCTGTACTGATGAAGGTAAAGTTTGAGATTCCGAGATGTTGGATATTCTCTATTTATTCTGTGGTTCTTTAATGTTCTTTACATTTCACCTTCTTTGTGTAGATATTTTGTAAATATTGTTGTTGAGGTTAATGATTTAAAATTGTTTCGGGATCGGGTTGCACGCCGCAACGGTATTGAACGGTATTGAAATGATATGAAGGAATACGGACAGATTATGATATGAACAAATGATGATATGGTGGATCGGGTTGCGCACCGCAACGAATTTGAGATGTTGTAATTGTTTGAGATTGTAGAGTTATCCTTGGTATTTTGATATGAGACTTGAGACTTTGTTATTCTGGGCTCTCGATAGTTGACCTTCGGGTCCGTTTATATGAGTTTATTGCTTTATTTCTATTCATGTTTTTCCGTTATTATTATTTCGTACAGGTTATTTGTGAGTGACTTGCCATAGCCTCGTCACTACTTCGTAGAGGTTAGGCTCGGCACTTACAGAGTTGTACTCATGCTACAATTCTGCACTTCTTGTGCAGATACCGGTTTTGGTCCCAGCGACGCGTAGCGAGACTGCTCGGATTCAGCTGCTTTTGGAGACTTGAGGTATAGCTGCACGGCGTCCGTAGTCCTGGAGTCCCCTTCTTTATTCAGTTTCACTGTTTATTTAGTATCAAACAGTTTGTTTTTTTATGAAGTAAGGTGTTATATTGCTGGCATCAGGAAGATGCAAATCATTACAAAAGAGGTTGGTTAGCTCCATTTACACAAAAATACAATTCTGACCAGGGAGCTAAACCAGAATCACCAAAAGCCTTTGGTTGTCAATCAAGCCAAAGACAAAGAGCTAATAAAATCTAGAAATGGAATTAAATCATTTACAGAGGAAAGGTTGCTCCAGCTATATAGATTCCTTAAGGCACTTTGCTTTCAGGTAGCTGTTGGGAGTTGATATTCCATCAAAGCATCTGCGATTCCTTTCTGCCCAAATACACCAAAATATAAACAGTTGTACTTTATTTCAGGCCGTATTTGTAGTATTCCAGATGCTCATGCATTCGTGACTCCAGATTCTGGTATATGTTTAGATCACGTCATTAAGTATTTTATCACTCTATTTCAGACTATTACGATTTATTATTATTAACGTTTTGATTTGAATTGTTAAAACTGGTTAAGTAATTTAGCTAACGTTGGCTTGCCTAGCAAGTGAAGTGTTAGGCGCTATCACGGTCCCGAGGGTGAGATTCCGGGTCGTGACATAAGCATGCAAGAAAAAAATGTTTACTGAGAGGGAACATAATACCTTGCTCAGTACAGCCTCTTTGAGCTTCTTGTAGAAATATGTATTGAAAAAGTGATACTCATCTACATCTGCATGAGCTTTTGTCTTCTGGAGGTACCTAGAAACATGAAAATGCAATTAGGGTATAACAGATTGAGAAAGTCAGCATCAAGCTTCATCTTACTCCTTTACTGGAAACACCAAAAAATTGACCACCAAAACTTACTAGTTACTAAGACAGTTACACAGTTCATGAAGTCAAGGTTATGTTTCATTGATAGAGAAGTTCACACAGTAACACAATATCAAGCTATCATGATGATTAATAGGCTATTTAATATGATTTTTATCTTTTGAGTGATCATTTGTGACTCCAACCAATTGAAGATAGATTCATATGAAGGAAACAGTTTAGAATTGAAGATGTCAATAGTAGATGGTATTTAGAAGATATATTTAAGGAAAATTCTTTTACATACAAATGTAATTTGTATTTAGTCACCTAATGGGAATTCTTTTCTCTGCGCCAGGAATTAAGAATAGTACACCAGCAACGGTAGCCTTCAGTCTTTTTTATTATCTCTGGAATAAGGAAACAAGATTCAAGCCTAGGAGCTAAAAGGACATTCCAGTGCACTAAGCTCTCTATGCTCGAGGTCCTAGGAAGGATTGGACCACATTGGGTCTGTATATGCAGCATTACCTCGCATTCTGCAAGAGATTTTTTTTACAGCTTGCACTCGTGACCTCCTTGTCACACGTGGGCAACTCTTACCGGTGCCAAGCTATTACTACACCAAATATATTTTTTTTAACAAGCAGCTACTTCTATGATATTAAAATGCTATGACAGATTGGAAACACAACTAACAATAATGCAAGTGTCACTAACTTCATGCATTCGAGAAGTCAATTTTTTTCTATGAAGACAGAAAGTGAAAAGCTATATAAAACAGCTCCTTAAAATTAAGTTCGTAAGCAATTTATATTAGTTATTAGTTAGTAGGTAATTATTGGTATACCATAAATATTTTCAGGCGGCTAACTAGCAATAGTATTAAATGATTGCTGATGTTGGAAAAGGCAAAACGATATTACTGCGATACCCATCAAATTCAAACACAAGATTTCAGAAAAACTAATATTACATTACATGACTGTGTCTGTATATGCATATGCAGACACACACCAACATAGCTAAGCTATATAATAGACATTATACTAGAAATTGCTGTAATGAGAAACGCAAGTTAGAAAAAAGCTCGATGTTCAAAAGGTGGTTATTTTCTTTGGAACTTACATCGATATTCCTTAATTTCATTCCTCTTTTCCTTTTTCTTAGGGCATACCTGAAGCAACCTATTCCCAGTAGATGTCTAATCTATCTATTCATTGATCAACGAAGTAACTACTAGACAAAATCTTTTTGTAACTTACCGGATGTAGAAATTCATTATCGTCGATGACAAATATGCTTCAGGTGCAAGAGATTCCATGTCCGAACAACAAATTTCAACTGATTCAGGATCAACCCTATTTTAATGGTAAAAAGTAAAGAAACACCAAGCAATAAAAGAGAAATTATATGCCCAAGGTAATAAGTAATGCATACTGGATTAGTAAGGTTGTCATTCACGCCATACCGTGAAGGATAGTAGATCTTGGTTGCATTTCTGCTGGAAAAGAAGAACATAAGAAATATCAACAATTGCTTACGAAAACTCAAATCAGGAGCTGATATGTCATTGTGAGAATAAACATACTAATATATTACCATTCAACAACTTCGTCCATTCGCTCTGCCGCTTTATTTGCACCAGGTTCCTCCTCATCCACAAGAACAACAGCCTCCCCCTAGGGAAATAAAGAACCATATGACGAGAAAGACCACATTAGGAATAAAATATAAGCTCACGACTTCCAAGAGAATGAACTACATTTAGGGGAAAAAGAACAAATAAAGCACGAGAGGCTACAGCAATTCATCATGTCCCTCCCCGCAATGTCTTAGCAAACTTTCTTTTTTCTTATTTTTCCTACTTTCGGATCATTATACCCTAGCAAACTTTTAACGACTACTGAAACAAGAAGAATACGGAGGGACTAAGCGGTTAAAGTAATAATAAGCTCATCAATCAATGTGTACCTACTGCAACTAGCCACCCCCACCCCGTGAAGGAGGAAAGAAAACGAGAGAAAGAAAGAGGTAGTTTTGGTAGTTGTTCGTTTGATCGTGGATAAAACACTCTTGTGCTAGACAAACTTACACCAACAATCAGTCAACCCATGCGCCAATGAATTAAAACCCCCAATGCCACAGGAACTCTTACAGCTCAGCATATGCGGCAAGAATTGCTCTGGAACAGAAAATCAGAATATATGCACTGAAACAACCATTTGAGGTCTTTAGTAAGTAGATATTGCTAATCCACCAAAGGACTTAAAGATATTGTCAGAAACCCAATAGCAGCTCCCAATATAGTGACAAAAAAGTAGTACCATGCCTACACGGAAGTAAGCCGGAATGGGATAACAATGATATGGGGGAAACCTTACATTTGCATGCCTTTTAGTATGTGAAGATTGGGCTTGAGAGGCTTTAGTCCTGAAAAAGAAAAAGGTTAAATCACTCGCAAACATGTTTTCCTTGAGTTTCATTATTTATAACATACTAATAGATACAAATAGCAGCCAAGGGGAGGCAGGAAAGCAAACGAATAATCATAAAAAGTAAAAAATACATGGCTCATGCATGGTATTTTAAGCAAACAAGTACTACAAATAATGTCTCAATGATAACTTGAAAATCACATGTGCTTCTTTAGAATATCAAATTACTCCCTCTGTCTCATTTTACGGACACACTTCCCATTTCAGACTGTATCAAAGAGAATGGCACATTTCTATCTTTAGAAACAATTCAACTATAAACTTCGTATTTTACCCTTAATGAGATGATTTATAGCTACACAAATGTCTATGACTTGTTTTAGACCACAAATTTTGAATGTCTTTTTTTCTTTCTTAAAACTACGTGCCCAGTCAAACACCGTCACATAAAATGGGATAGAGGAGTAATATTATGAACAAAATGATCTCCCCAGTAACTTTGGACTTAAAAGTTGGAATTCAAGTAGGAAAAAAGGGAACAAAGGAAAGAATTACAAAGAGGTGAGTGATTCAAACGCCCTGGAAAAAGTGCACATTCTCTCAGCACAGGTTTGGCTCGATAAGGGATGGGGGAGTATAATCCCCCTACCTCTTAACCACATTTTGGTTCATTTTTTGGGGGATTCAGATCATGAACCCCAATTGGTGTCTGTTGTTTAGGTAAATAACCCATCTGGTCTAATGAATGGATTAGCTATCCCATGAGGATGCAGGATCAGCATTCCTATGTGATTGGGGGATGGAAATCCTATCGTCCCCTAATAAGGCATAGATTTACGTTTTACTAAGTGAAACACACTCTCCACCTCCAACCTTACGGTTGTTGGTTTGAGTCACCATGTTACCATATCAAAAAAGAATTAGGATAGTAAGATAAAAGAATTTGTTAAATCTCTTCCACGATCATCTGAAAACAACAATCCCCAATCTCCTCATAATAAATCCTTCACCAATCCACTTGTAAGAATCTCCTCACGAGAGTCTGGAGGTACTTTTAATCCACCTTATCATATTCGTGCACCAAAATATCATTCCTATATTCGGGCATTTAATCGTGTAGCTCTAGTTCTGTCTAGTTCTCTGATAAAAGGAGTATTGTCCACAAATATTGTTGAATGAAACTGAATAAGAAATATCAGTGTAGAAAAGGGTCGGGAGATCAATGATAAGGAGTATTATCCACAAAGATTGCTGAATAAAACAGACTAAGAAATACCAGTATACAAAAGTGATAGCGAGATCAAAGATTAGGCTGCAGGAACTTTTCCTCCTTTTTCTAATTGCTTGGGAATAACTTCTTTTTCCATGACGCTGGAGTCTGTGCCAGCTTGCACATCTCAACTATTCTAATGGGTACCTGCTGCCTCTCACCAGTTGTTTAGCCATAAATTTTAAAGGACCTAACGGTTTGCGTTGTAAAGGACCTATAACTCTCCAATTAGAAATTACAATTCATTTTAAACTTGCAGCAGATAGAGTGTAGCTAAAATGGACAAGGATAGTTGCAGAATAAGAACTACGAGATCAGATCTGGTAGCTACTATGCAATCACATAATCATAGAAATGAACATTGTTCTGCGAGATATATCAAACCATTTCTACACCCATATGCTCTTGTGCATGTCACTCTACAGCGACTCAGCAAGTACAACTGCTGAAAATAAATAAAGTCATATTTAATACTCCATATCTCAAACTGAAAGTTCAGATTTCTACTTTGGGCCATCTGAAAACATTGTCCACCTTCTTAAAATAGAATACTTTGTCACGGTCACGACTCCTCTACATATTTCACAGCAGGACATAATTACAAAGTAAAAACAGGAGCAGCTTTGAAACTTCCATTGCTCTATACTAAAAATTAGTGGACCCATCTTTCACAATGAAACCTAATTCAGTTACCCTAATTCTTAGTGAGTGACAGCTTCCGGTAATAACAAGATAATAACAGCAACAATAAAGTGATATAACAGAAAAATAGTCTAAGAAATTTAAGTGAAATAGAAGAACCCAAAAGAAAAGACACATACTTCTTCGAGAAAGAGCTGGCAAATTTTTCTTCAGAATAACGAGTAGTAGAAGAGTCCCTTCCCTTAAGATCAACATTTAAAAAACTTTCACCTTTGTCTACAGGAAACTTATAAGGTGCTTCCTGTGACAACAACTCTCGCTTGTGTTTTCTTTGTGAAAATTGCCTGTTTAGTGTCCTTTTGTGGTCACAGGGATTCAGAGCATATACTTCTTTTTGGAAATCATTGGCTGTCTTTGAATCTGCCTGCTAATCAATATACAAAAGTAAATATAAATTAATGGTAACTCCAAGCAGAAGAAAAATGAGTATAAGATTGATATTGTACTTTTGCTTCCAACTTGTTCGAGAAACAAGCAGCAAACGTGGACTGCGGAGAGGATATAGATGGTGAAGCCTGTGGCTCGAAGTCATCATGTGCACCTATCAAGTCGCATCCAACTTTCAGGCTGTCCTTTTTGAAGTAATAACTTGAGTAAAGCAACTTAAAATGACAAATAAGACAATTCTGATTTCGTCGGTACGGTATTTAGACATTTCGATTCGGTATTTTCGGTATTCGATTTCTTAAAATGCAATATCAATACTGTACCTAATTAAATTTGGTATGTTTCGGTTTTTCTTCTTTCTGTTTCGGTTTATTCGGTTTGGTAACTTCACTATTTTCTCTTGTCCAGCTGACTGTAAAACAATAATAGCATTCTAGTAAATTACTCTCATGATTAAAATTTTACGAAATGCAGTGAATTCACAAGCACGAAAATACCTACAAGCACACAATGCTAGAAATGGAACTGCGAAATTAACCAAAGAGGAACAGAACAAAAGTCAAAGTCAAACCATTTGGGAAACGACCCGCTGCCGTCGTTCTAATTCACCCTCGTGCAGTTTGACATTTTCCCTAAGCTTTTCACCTCCATCGCGTAACCTAGCACCAATGGTGCCGGACAGAGACCTTTTAAGCCTCCTAATTTTTTCGTTCAATTCAGTATTTGATAAGTTGGAAAGTCCTTCTTTATGCTCCTCTCCGTCCATGGCGGAGGTAAGCACCTGCTCCGCCGGAGGGTCTTCGTCGTCGTTGATTATTATTTCGCAGTCTAGAGAAAATCTCATAGGGAAGAGCGGGGAGGTGGGCGAGGGGTTACTTGTCAAATTCTCTACTCTGCAACTATTTTTGTACTAGTTAATTGATCCGCGGTAAAATATTTCTTATTGTAAATTTAGTTGATATCAAATAGATATGCAAAAGTGAAAATATCAAAAAATATTTAATCTTGAACAAACATGCAAAAGAATAAAAAATCAAATATATAATGGAGAAAATACATGTGGAAGAAAAAAAATAAGAAGACAAATTCTAATAGGGATTGACATTGGGGGAAGGGAAGCTATCCCTTATTTTTTAGAGAGAAATTATGTGACATAAGTCTTCTCGTCCGTGCTTCTTCTTTAAATTCTATTTAGAAAGCACTACAACTCTTTTTAATTAATATCTTCAAAAGATAATAATTTTATTAACACATGGACGGACAATTATTGAAATGAATGCATCATTTATAGAGTTTCACACTAAATGTACTTAAGATTATATTTTATTTCCACTTTGTAAAGGAAAATAAAAAGAACAATATAAGAGATAAAATCAAAAGATTTTCGGTATTATTTAGTTAATAATCATGTAAAGACATCTTTTGAATGTCAGTTATTAGAAGTAATTAAGTTATTGAATATCACAAAAAGTCATCATAGCATTTCTTCATATACCTATAAAGAAAATTGTTTAGAAAACAAAAAAACAAAAAATCTTACGAAAGATGGAAATACAGTTGGTAGAATTTGAGGGAGCAATATCACAAGAAGGCATCACGCATTTCCTTCAAGTTCCCAGAGAAACAAAAAAGGAAATGCATTATTTTCCTATTGAATTTTAAAATATTTCATTGTATCAAGTATAAAAAAAACTTTACTTTAATGTTTAACAATAATAAGCGATCCATCTTTATTAAATTCAACTGGAACCGGAATAAGAAAAGCTTAACAGTCATAGCGAGTAAGTTCCATTTTTTCTTTTCCTTTTTAGCAATAAATACAAGTTTTGTCAGACTTAACGAAGATTATAAATAAATAAAAAAAGAGTGTAAAAATAACAAAAATCCTAAAATCATACTGCATTTATGGGCATACTAATATGAGTTCCTACTATGAAAATGAAAAAATCCTTAAGTAATGAAATCAAAAGAACATGAAAAAAAAAGAATTTCATATAATCATTGTAAACGAAAGAACAACACCCAATCATGTCAAATATTACAATCATACATAATGAGAGTCTAGGGGTGGCAAACGTGCAGGCGGGGCAAATATTCGCGGGTCGAAAACGATAATTCAAAAAACGGATAAATTATTCGATCCGACCCGTATTTGAAACGGATAAAAAATGGGTTATCTGGCGAATAATATGGATATCTATATTATCCATGGCTTCTTGAATATGATCACTTATGGGGGAATTTTTAGTCTCCCAAACTTGAGGAACCCTCAATTTGAGGCTTTATAAATGTAAAAGTTAAACGCATTAGTTATCCATTGGTTATCCATTTCCTAAGTGAATAATATGGTTTTTATCCATATTCAACCCATTTTTAAAAAGTTCATTATCTAACCCATTTTTTAATGAATAATATCGATGAATAACTATTTTCTTTTACCCAATTTACCTCCTCTAAATGAGACTATTGTTGAAGTGAAGCCTCTTGTATATGAGTGTGTCAGTGTAATTCTACTTGTAAGTGTCCTTGCGGTATCAAGTGCATACTCTTTAAATGAATGTATTTACAGCCGATGTCCGGTCACGTTTCTGAAAAATGACTCGTAGCCTGTACAATGAAGCTTTTTTTTTTTTGGTCAAAAGTACTTTTATTCAAAAATTAAGGTGTTTGGTCAAGTTTTTAGAAAGAAAAAAGTAATTCTGAGAAGTAGAAGCAATTTTTGAGAAGCAAAAAAAAGTAGCTTCTCTCCAAAAAGCACTTTTCATTTTTGCCAAGCTTCTCCAAGTAAGTATTTTTTTTTTCAAAGTTGAAGTGTTTGGCCAAGCTTTTAGAAAGAAAAAAGTGCTTTTGAGTAGAAACAGAAGTAGTTTGGAGAAGCAAAAAAAGTAGTTTCTTCCCAGAAGCATTTTTTTTAGAAGCACTTTTGAGAAAAATATACTTAGAATCATTTTTTGAAAGCTTGGACAAACATGAATTGTTGCTTAGAAGTGCTTTTCAAATTAATTAGCCAAACACAAACTGTTTTTCACCAAAAGTAATTTTGAAAAAAGCGCTTTCGAAAAAAAATACTTATCAAAATAAGCTGATTTTTTCAGCTTGACCAAACAGGCTATTAGAAGCAGTTTTTAAAAGCTTGGTCAAACACTAATTACTACTCAAAAGTATTTTTTAAATTAATTAGTCAAACACAAACTATTTACCACCTAGAGTAATAACAACAACAACTACCCAGTAAAATCCCACTAATGGGGTGTGGGGAGGGTAGTGTGTACGCAGACCTTACCCCTACCCCGAAGGAGTAGAGAGACTGTTTTCGAAAGACCCTCGGCTCAAAAAAATAAAAAGACAAAAGGACAAAAAGGGAGACAATATTAGTATCACAACAACACTCGGAACACCATGAAATCTAGAAGTATTTACCCCCTAGAGTACTTTTTTAAAAGGTACTTATTTTTTTTTTTTTGTTGAGAAAAGCACTTTTTAAGCCAAACAAGCTATCAGTTCCTTCAGATTTCCTGTTTAAGGTCATCTCATTTTTTTTTCTTGATGCTACTGTGCTTCACACCATTTTGATCCATTCGTTGCCTTCTAAAATAAAAAATTCCATAATATAATTATGTGTACTATAAGCCCCTGTTTGCCTATTTCTCCCCCAGCCACCTACCCCAAAAAGAAAATTTAAGAAGGGTAAAAACAGAATGGTCAGTTATAAACTTACAAATGGATGGTGAAGGTGTGTGCTTTAGCATGCTCTCCCAAAATGCAATGAACTTGCAGATTTGTCTTCATTGTAAAGTCCTTCTACCATGGGTGTTGTGTCGAGTGCAAGTGAAAACATTACGTAGAAATTTTTGCTTATAAAAGAAAATTCGAGATTTTGACAGGAAGATTAAGGAAATATAACCAAGTTATAAAAGATTTTTTTTTTAATTATTAACTTGCATACCGTGAGTCCGTGACTATTCATTTTCCGTTATAATTTTTCATTGCTCACAATGTTTCAGTTTCATTGACCGCACAACGTTTCAGTATCTTTCTTTATTACAACAATAAACGCACAATCACAGGGAAGAGAAAAAGAATCAAAAAAGAAGAGGAAAAAAGCAAAAAAATGAGAAAAAAGATAAATATATTTCTTTACCAAAGAAATGTGCCATGTCAGCACTTATTGTCACACACATATATATATAGAGAGAGAAATAGGGGAATTATTATAATGAAAAAGAAAAGGCTGATATAAGGAAAAAATATATAGAAGTAAAATGTAAAAGTGGTTTAGGTCACCGTGTCATGGATATAGTAGAAATCGGACGCTAAATTTTATCTTTTTGTCACCTTGTAATTTGTTTTTTCCTAAAATCTCCAAAGATAATTCTCACATAATAACCAAAGGTGAAATTCATGAAAATGATCAATATAAAAAAATAAAAAAATAAAAAAATAAAAAAGAGAGATAGATAAAACAGTACAGTGGTATAATAGGATATTGTAGAAAACTTGTAGAAATTTGAATAGAGTTAATCATCCTCTTCCTTTTTAATCTTACTGGATAATTTTTTGAACTGATCAGAGGTTAAAATGATTTTTTCACATAAACTCAGTACTTTTACTGTCAAAAAGATTTTGCTACCATGAAAATTCCAATAAATTCATGCGGTAATTTTTTATTATTTTAATCATATTGAAACTTTTCATAGTTTTATTTGTTTCAAGAAAGGAAAAAGATGAAGACATTAAGATTAGAAAAAATACCCCAACCCATCAAGCTCTTTGTTTCCCAACTGGCCAACTTCATTTCTCATCCCTTTCTTTGTTTCTTCTTTTCTTTTTCTTCTTTTGGTAACTATTTGTCGTCCCTCCAGAGGTTATAATACGTTTCATCGGACGAATCGCCAACCTTCATCTCCATTCTCACTCCCTTTCTAATATATATTGGAAGTTTTAGTAACAACTGTTAGCATGCAAATACAATTGATTAGGGATTACCCATATGAATCTCAAGAACCTACAAATGTTTTTGTGGAATAATTTGATGCTGGTGCATTTCACTCTACAAGTTCTATACTTTTCAAACGAATATATCTCTTAGGTTTGTATATTCTTCGGGTAGCGATGGCCATAGTTTGAGATTTGCCTCATCGCAGCAAGAGGGTGTATGCATACTTTGCAACAAAGAGGAAATTTTTGTTACTCGCACTCTGTTAGCCTCTCGGCTCGATTAGTCGAGCATGGCATGGGCGTGATGAGGGATTTACATGATGGACCTCGGCACGGCCCTATGATGGCTGTGGCATCATGTTGACAAGACTGTCTGACATGGGCAGGTTTTGATGGGCATGGGCTATGGCACGACGACATATTCGCTTGGGTGCTAAGACATGACAAGACCATGGCATTGGTGTGGACATGGCAAGGCAAAGGCAACAGGTAGAAAAAGCATAGCAAGGGTTGGAAAAGCTAAGGTAAGCTAAGGCAGGGCGTGGCAAGGCAAATGGGCGCGGGCACGACAGTGTCATAGGCGAGTTGGGCATGCAACATAGGCAGACATACGCACAAGGCATGCTACACATTGGCATAGCGCGAAGGCATG